TCTTACCTGTGGCATTCTGAGATTAAAGGAAAAATGTATTCAGTGTCAAACCACAAAGACTTAATCAAAACACAAAAGAGAACAATTATAAAAAACAATTAACTGCTATTATAAAGATTAAGACTTAATTAAAACACAAAAGACAATAGACAAAAGATTGAAAAAATACCTTAAGATAAGCTTGGTTTAAGATGATGCGAGAAGGAGCTGATGTTGTTGAAGGACTTTGTGGTGATCCTTCAGTGTTAGAGAGCTGTGTGGCTGCTTCCATCTCAGCTTGAGTTACCAGTTCTTCAGCACGGTAGTCCACAAAAGTCCCATCCTTGCGTGTGTGTGTCCTCCTCAAAAGGTCTGTGTAGGATGGTGGTTCACCAGTCTCGATCGTCTGCAAAACCAGAGAGAAAATAAAAATCAATTAGGAAAATTTGCAAAATAAAAAAGGCATCAGAAAATACCATTTTGTATGCTATCCTAGCAAAACCACAAGGGCCTGCTTTGTGCTTGTGTTCTCCTTTACCCATAGGGTCAGACTTGCGGCTTTTTGCAGCTTTCTTGCTCTTCTTCTTGGCTGGTTCTGTCGCCCAATGCTCCAAAAGGTAAGTCCAATCTGTGTCATTGATGTACTTTGGCTGCTTATTTTGCATCTTCTTCTTGCTGATCCTTTCACCAATAGTCGTCCATGTTTCCTTCTTCCAGAGAGCATAGACAAGGTCATTAAACTGAGGCTCCCAATAGAAATTTTGCTACAAAATGAAACAAAATTGTTAGTTGTTATCGAAGAATATTTTTAATCTGTATTTGAAAATTTAAAAAAACTTACAACAAATGTCTGCCACCATGAATCCCTCCTTTCGTCTGGAACCGACCTCCAACTCTTCCAAGGTCCCATGTAATACCTTGCCATGTTGCCCGGATGAAGGAGTTGACGCATGGGTCAATAGAAAACCTACACAGAACTCAAACATCAGAGATAAACAACAATCCTAAGCTATCAAACATCAAAGAAAATAACGATCCTAAGCTAACAAATAATCGAGACAGTAATGTTCCTACGTTAACCACTAACCCTTTTGACAAACAAATATCAATATATCCTAATCTACCGATATCAATATATCCTAAGCTAACAAACATCAGAGACAACAGACTTACCTTTGAACAAAAAAAAAGAAAAAAGACAACAAACTTACCATAAAGCTCCATTGAGCTTATCTGGATGGAGATGTGGCTGAGACATCCTAGCAGGGGCATTGAACATGGCATTGAGAGACATTTGCGGATAGCTATTTGAGCGAGATGATGAAGCTTGTCCGGTTGCAGCGAATCCAGTGGCACCAGGGGGCATTTGAGGAGGAGACCCAGAATGTGATCTTCGGTTGTCCATCTCGGTTAAAAGAAGAGAGTAAAAGAGTCATATACTTATGTGAAAACGAAAAACAAATAAACAGAGAAACCCTAAATCCTAAGTGGAGACATATTAATCTAAATCTAAACAAACAAAGGGAATCAAGAAACCCTAAATCGAGTGTATCTAGAAGCCGAAAAAATAACCCTAAATCAATTGTCTTTATGAATTTTAAGAACCCTAAATCGATGTATCTACAACTCGAGACTAAGAACTCTAAATCGATGTATCTAAACATGCATGACCACAAAGGGATCTAAACAGAAAAAGAAACCCTAAATCGATTATCTCTACAACACGAGATTAAAAACCCTAAATCAATTGACTACACCCTAGATCGATGGACCTGTAAACTAAACATGCAAGACCCAAAAGCATCATAAACTAGAAAACAAATGACTGAATCTTGGAAACGCCCCCCCCCCACAAATAACGCTAAATCAATTGACTAAACAAAGATCGAGAAAGAGAGAGAGAGTTGGTAACCCTGAGAGAGAGAGAGATGATCGGAATCGGCGATGAGAGAGAGAGAGTTGATCGGAATCGTCTAAAGAGAGAGAGAGAGTTTGTAATTTCGGCTAAGTGTTGAAATGAGAAAGAAGAGACTGATCGAGTGATAACCCTAAGGCTCAGCCACGGAAAAATAGTGGCTAAACCGTGGTTATATTAAAAATAAACCGCTAATCCGACACTTTAACCAAAACTAATTGGAGCCAAAACCAAAATTTCGGAGCCAACCCAAATTTTTTTCGACTTGCCACGATACAACAGTAGCAAAACCGTGGCTGTACTAGAAAGAAACCGCGAATCCAATTTAATTAGAGGGAAAACCAAACTTTTGAGCCAAACCGAATTTATTTTCGATATGCCACGAACATTTAGTAGCAAAACCGTGGCTATTTGCCAAGTAAACCGTGAATCAAAATTAATTAGAGCCAAAACCAAATTATTTTGGGGGCAAACCAGTATTATTATATCGAGCCCAAACCAAAGTTTACCAGCCACGAAAATACAGTGGCTAAATCGTGGCTATATTATATAAGTGAATCCCTAATCCCTAAAAACTAAAAACACAATAACAATACTCTTACTTCCCAACCCCTAAAAACTAAAAACACAACAACAAAACCCATACTTGCACATACATGAAAACCATTGTTTCACAAAATATTTTACATCATAATCATTTTATCATACAACATTCTCACACTTACATATTTTACATCATTCTTATTTTATCATACATCATTCTCATGTTGTCATACAACATTCTCACACTCACATATTTTACATTCTTCTTATTTTATCATACATCATTCTCATGTTTATCATACAACAACACTCATTATTTTACATCATTCATTATTACTCGGAATCACCTGAATCTGAATCATTACCTGTTGTTCCTATATCCTCATCGGATTGATATTCATCATTTGGAGGGACCACGGGAGCTGTATCATAATCCGAGACATCGTCCACAACATGTGTTTCAACTTGTAGCAATGAACTTTCTGCAACTTGATCACGTCTATCGTCTTGCCACGCGGTCAAAGCAACCTCTGAAGTTTCTCGGATTCCTCGTGGTAATATTTTTATGCAAGCCCACCATTCATCTCCTGAAGTTCGACGTACCCGCGGATAAGGAATGAAACATGCTTGATCACAATTACCTGAAAAGACAAATATCAGTTGAAATCTGATAATACAAAATCTTCATTTTATCTTCATTCTAAGTACCTGGTAACACAAAAGGATCATATTTTGCATATTGTCTGCGTGGTGAGACATCTACAAGTCCAAATGGATGTATTCTCATACCGCGATTTTNGTACCCGCGGATAAGGAATGAAACATGCTTGATCACAATTACCTGAAAAGACAAATATCAGTTGAAATCTGATAATACAAAATCTTCATTTTATCTTCATTCTAAGTACCTGGTAACACAAAAGGATCATATTTTGCATATTGTCTGCGTGGTGAGACATCTACAAGTCCAAATGGATGTATTCTCATACCGCGATTTTCGGTTGTATCAAACCAACGACATTTAAAAACCATTGCTTTCAACCAACATCACCATGATACTCCACCATCATTATCTCTTCTATGAGGCCGTAATAATCTGTATTTGTGGTTCCAGGGACACAAACACCATAATTTTGAGTTCTCTTATTTTGACCGTGATTGTGAGTGTGAAAAGTGTATCCTCGTGAATGGTATATTGGCCAAGACCTATAACTTCGTTTTGGACCTTGTACAAAATCCAACATCCATACAGGAAATGTGTAATACGCAATGGCCTCATTAATCTGCAATACAAAAACATTATCATTATTATCATTCACAATCTTAGAATGTATATTAATACACTACAACTCACATAGTCTTTGACCCAGGTTGCAAATTTGGTGTCTTTCGCTTGTTGCAATCCACGAGGAGTAATACCAGGGACAGTTCTCTTCATATGATCTTCAAACATGCTGCAGATAAGTGATAGTTTAATTATAAGCTAATATGTAAATGTATATATAAATATATATATATATATATATATATTCTATAATTTAAAATAACCTTTCATATGGTGTAAATGCTTCACAGTTGTCAAGTTGGTGTATGTCGGCACAAAAAAACAAAAAAAGCCACGCTAAATATAGTGACAAGTTTGTGGCTTTTTGTCTAGCCACGGTATATGTCAGTGGCTTTGTAGTGACTGGACTGTTTTACCGTGACTTTTATTCTATCGTGGCCTTTTCGTGGCTTTTTAAAACCAGCCACGGTTTTGGTGTGGCAGTGTAGTGGCTATGCGGAAGATTTTTACTAGTGATTAGTTGTTTTTCAAGCAAAGAGAATAAATAGTCCGTAAGAAAATATCGCGTTTGAGGCGGTCTAATAAACTTACGTAAGGGTCACTTTACAGTATACGTTGGAGAAGATGAAGAAGAGACGGAAAGATTTGTGGTTCCAATCTCTTATTTGAAACATTCTTTGTTCCAAGCTCTCTTGGCTCAGATCATTCGAGGAAATATCTTACGATCCCTTGTGATGAAGATGTCTTCACTTCTCGCCTAAATCGAATTCAAATACACTTGTGCTAAACTAAGATTATGTACTATTTTTTTTTTTTGGTTTGATCATCAGTTTGGTATATAATATATATTTATTGTTAGCATGAGCGCCAGTAAATCAAAACCTAAATGTATAAAATAAATAAATGAGAAATTGGCTGGGAAATGTATAAATCTTATAAATATTACAAAAAAAATTGAAACGTAAATATTACAAATGCTTAATTCTTTATAAGTTGTTTCCAGATCAAAAATGAATTACTTCCATTAAAAATAAATTGTAGAAAAGGCAAGCTGCGGTCCTAACTGAATGGTTAAAAATCTCACAAAATCTATTAAGAAGTGAACTTTTACAACTCGCAAGATCTTTTTCGATCCAAAACTGAAAGAGACTCACTTATACAGTATCTCAATCTCGAGTAATTTTCTCTCACTTCCTTAGATACAATTTAAAGAAAATACACAAAATATATGTGTATGACGAAACTTAATGAATATTGTGATGATCAGTGAGCTCCTTATCATGAACCACTTAGAATAGAAGCTAGAGAAGTGAAGTAATCTTCAGTGCAAGGGATTGTTAAACCTCCCATTGGATGGTCGAACCCGAACTCTTCTTCCGCGAGGTTCAACAAACCTTGGAACAATGGATGGTTTAAATATGATATAGGTATCACGAATCTCTTCCTTTGGTAAGTCTCTCCCACGTAGACGGCTACATGACCCTTTGGAACATTATTAGTACCCGACATGGCCAAGAGGCTTGCGATTTTCGCTGATAAGCTTCTTTGAAGCTTTTGCTTGGCGTGAGATAATCCAATCAGTTGAATACCCATCTTTGAGGATTAACGCAAGTAGCTAAAAGGGGAAATATTGAAAGAAAAAAAATCTTGAGTGGTGAATATTTGAATTTCTTGAGCTTCTATAGAAATGGATTAGGTTTTGTAAGCAAGCTTCTCTAAATGTGTAAAGTATATATAGAGAACTAAAAGGGGTTTGTGACTGCAAGTCATTGGAGTAATAGTTTGAGGAACATATCAGGTGGAGCTAATGGATGAAGTTCACATGCTTATGCCTCGTCTTTTTAGAAACCATTTTGTTTTCTTTCTTTTTGGTGAAACATGTTTGTAAGACCCTACCATTCGCCGAAGATGAATTATAACAACCTACCATCTCTTATATGAATATAACCAAAATAACAAAGGAGAAGCACGTTACAATCAACTTGTATGATTTTTTTTTAATATATAAATGCGTTCCAACATTCCATGTATATATAATGTGTTCGTAAATTGGATATACACAATGCTTTGCTAGATACTAATAATGAGTGATTTGACGTACCATATTAAGCAAACTATTTCAAATTGGAACTTGTTGGGCAAACCATTTCGATACTTGTCAGCTGTGAATATGAGAGGACGTGGACCATTTGGCTACTTCTCAACCACAATTTTTGGCATTTTTTATTTATTTCAAGGATCAAATGTTTCTCATCTATAATAGTAAAAGAAGCCATGATCAACATATATATATATATATATATATATATATATATATATATATATATATATATATATATATATATATATATAATGGTTTAGTCCAGTTTTAATCATGCTAATTTGGTCGAATCCAATCCTAACTTGAAGGTACTTTAGTCCGGTTTAAAATATTTCTCCTAACTAATATAAGAATTAATGGTCTGAGATCAGTGCAAAATATAATACCTGAAGAACGGAAGAAAGTGAAAAAGCAAAATCCATGAAAGAGAACACATTTCGAAAAGTTTTATATATAGATACTGATTGTTAACTAGGTATATATTTTCAGCCTTGGAAAAACTAAACTATTTGGGAACACAATCATCTGCATTTGTTGCAACTACTGTAGATAATGGCTGCATATATTCAGATGAACTGAATGTACCCATAAAAAGCAACAATGAAAAAGACTAAGTGAACAAAATCCAAAAGTGTTTGAGACAAGTGCAACTTATGGTTCTTTGTTTAGTTGTTTTTCATTATCAGCATAAAGACTGTCCCTATATTTGTACCATCTCATATGCCATGCTTTCTTTTAAAAATGGCTGCTGAAAATTAAATAAATTGACTTCTTTAAAAGAAATGAAAAATAAAAAATGTACTTTCAAATATACTTAAACCTCACATGAATAAGATTATAGTGTTTTAGTATTGTATCGATTAAATTTAACTTTTCAACGAGCAAATTCACATGGACCACATGTGACTTAGCAAGAAGCATCTTAACAAATGTGCATGAAAGCTTTCGATAGATCTATCGTTATCAAAAATTAATAAACTTCATACAAAAATACTGGACTAATATAGAAAACCCGAAATGGCCAATTATTATTGTTGTTATGTCCTTGTGACCTTTTGACCGTATTTGACATAATTGAGGTCGAAAAGGCGAATAAAATTATTGTGCTTCGAAGCTTTATTAATTGGGTGCATTTGGATATGTTAGTGTTTGGCAGCTACGACATGCAACACGAGGGCTTCATCATCAACTCACTGACTCTCAAGGTTTGACCCAAAGAAAAAGCTAAATGTTATTAGAAGATCTTGTGACTGTCCATTCGTGGATATCCATGTTTCATGGCTTTATACATATGTATCTATTATTTCGGAAAATGGATTTTCATATGAAACAATTATTAGAGAGCATGTGATGTGACTAACCAAATTATAGAGAGAGCGTTTGATATTTGACAATTTTCAAATACAAATCAACAGATGTTTTTGATAAAATAAACAGATGTTAGACTTGTTATTGTGCTAGAAGGAAATGTCACTTTCATAATGCTAATGTAGTGCCAAGCATGTAATTCTTTCAAGAAGGCTAGAGTATGTCAAACATATCCAAGTTCTACGAACTTCCAGGGTTTTACCAAAAAATGAGTTCGAAAACCAAAACATCTCTCGGTTTGAACAAATAACACGCAAAATACATAAAATATAAATGGATCTACTTAACGTTGGGCTGGATTCCTCGACATATAACTCATTGGCCCATGCATGTAGCATACTGGACATAAAAGTAATTAACCTACAAACCCTAGTTTTATGTCATTGCTCTGATGGCTCTTTACATTCCCAATTTAATTTACGAGGGATGAACCTTGGCTCTTTACATTTTGTCTTTATATGAACTAGAGTCTTTTCCGCGCTACGCGCAGATTATATACTACTATAATTTATTTTATTAATTTTTTCTTGTATTGTTTTTATTTTATATTTGAAGTATTGCTTTCATTTCATTTTGTACGTAAACATTATAAAATTCACAAATGTTTCCAAATTTATAGAATGGATTGTTTCAATTAGAACTTCAACAAAGTTTTAGTATGTAATAATATTATGTGACATGATATTGTTTTTACTCTAATTTTTGAATAGTTGTATATTCACTTAAAATTGAATTGTAAATGTAAGTAGCTCACGAAAAAATTTAATATGAGTTTTATTTTTTGCATAATAGAGAAAAGAATGATAGTATGTGAACTCTTCCATTTCAGTTTAATTATCTTCATAGACTAAATTTTTCATTTCAAAATGAGTATCGCTTTAAAATTCTAATAAAAAAAATTATTAACAATATTCTTCCATTTTTTGTATTAGTTGGAATATGGTTAAGTGTATATGTAATGATATCTTTATTTTAAAAATAAGCAAAATTAAATTTTTTTTAATCTATGTGCATGAGCCTAAAGATACAAATTTAAATGAAACAGAGAGTTTATATAATAATTTTTACGTGTTAGAATATCCTTTTTATCATTTCGGTTATTAAACTTAGTAAAATTTTATGTTTTTAATTTAAATTGAAAGATTTTAAATTGTCGTTTTTATTCAAAATGATTCAGTTTGTTGCCTAATAAATTTTGTAAAAACCTTATATATTGTAAGAACTATAATTTCTAATTTTTTTTCTATTAGGTGAAATCGATAAATAATAGGGAAATTCTCTTAAATAGGTATTTTTAAATTTCTGTCAAAAAATAGCCGTAAAAAAAATAAAATGACCAAAATAGTCCTTTATATTTTGAAATTTGTAATATTTTTTTCTTAAATTTAAAACCCTAAACCCAAAACTTCACCAATTAACTCTAAACCCTAAGTTTATATTAGTTAACTCAAAAGTATAAATGTATATTTACCTTTTAATAAAAACTTATTTGATCATTTTTTTCCTTGAATACAATTTTGTGAAAATAAACTAAAAACGATTATCCAATGAAATTGTTTAAATAATATCTTTGGTTGGTAATGGTATTTCTTTGAATATGTTTTTGTAATTTTTGTAGAAAACTTGCCAATATCTTTCCAAAAATCACATACAAAGTTTTCATTCCTTCTTTGATAATAGAAAGTTAAAAACTTGTATTTATGGTAAATAAAGTTATATTTGTTTTGGTAATAATTACTTCATAGTGATATCTTAAATTTTTGACTTTCACTTTTTTGTTTGTTGTTGTGTCTTATATTTTATATTTCTTTAATAATTTTAGCAATGCTTATTCAAACTGGTTTTACTAATTTATTTGTACGTTGTTTTAATATATGAGAAGTATGGTATTGTAATAGGTTTTGGAATTTTTTTGATCTCAAACACTATTCATCAAATATGAAAATAATTATATATTTTAATTCTTTATATCTATATTTATGGTTGTTTATTATGGGGGAGACGTCAGAAACTGCTTGACCTAATTGGTATGCATGTTTGCGGTCCAGAAATGAGAGGAGTGGAGAAGAGAAGAGATGAGTGATTGATCCAACGGGCTGGCAAATAACACTTTTCGGGTCCAGAAAAAATTTAAGCCCAACCAACCAAGCAGGGGCTGACTTGGCATGACAAAATAATTCCATTGGTCGATTATAAATGCTGACGTGGGTAACTCCATAGACCTTTATCAAGAACTTTTAATAGTAATAGATATTATTATAGCTTTTCACTTTTATTTTACTATGTTTACAAGAGATAGACATTTTTAAAAATGATCAAGTGAGGAAATATATTAACTGATATATTATATGCACTAATAATATCAATAGAGTTTAAAAGACGCACTGGATGGAACAAAAAAAAAATGTGGATGAAATATAGGTCTACATTTACTAAAAATACTTGTATAAACAAAAAAACCTTTTTCTGCAAACAACTTATATACTACTTTTTTGTTAGATGATGTTTTGGTACTATGCATAATCCTTCCATTTCATTTTAAATGTCGTTATAGACTTCAAAATTTGTTTCATTATAAATGTCATTTTATATTGTTAATGAAAAGTGTTTAATAGTTTTCAAATTTTATCTGTACCTTTCAGTTCATTAATTAACAAAAAACAACTAAAATAATATATTAATTAGATGTATAATAGGATATTCAATGATTTTTTTTTAATATGTGGGAAACATAATTTAAACGACATATAAAATGAAACATAGAGAATAAAAATTAAGAAAGAATTTCGTTTTGTTATTTCTTATATGAAAACACCAGTAACTATCCATTTAACCATAATTCAACCAATATTTTTTTATACGCAAAATGCTAAAAATTATATAACATATAACGTTAAATAATTTTACATGAAAATTTGAAAAAGTCCTCTAATTTATAATAAAAACAAATCTCTAAAGTATCATCTGTTAAAAACGAAAGGAGTAAATAATTACTTGCAAAATTAAGAGATACAGTAAAACCTCTATAAATTAATAATGTTGGGACTTTGAAATTTTATTAATTTATAGAGATATTAATTTACGAAAGTTTCCTTATTTAGATTTTTTTTCTATTTTTATTTATAAAATAAAAATATTTGATTTTAGCATATGTACATTATTTAAATTTTAAAAAATTTGAGTTTTATATTGTTTTATTATCTTA